CTGTGCAGAGAGGCCTGTGAGTGGTTGCAGGTAGGTGGTGGGTGTCCTGGTGGAAAACTGTGGCACAAGTGGAAGTGGCCAGACTAGACTTGGGCACTGGTTGTGGGGTGCAAGGTAGATCTGGTGGATTGCAGAAAAGGTATGGTGTGTGTGATCAGGGAGAGCCACCAGGTTTGACCCTGAAGGAGGGCACAGGAAGTCTGGGTACTGAGTGGGCAATTTTGTTTCCTTTTTTTAAAAGAATTTTTCTTTCATACTTTCTTTGGGGCTGGTTGATTAGTCTCCCTCATTCCAATTAGGCATGGAAGCATTGCTAATTTAAAAGTTGCCTGCACTATTGTTCATTTTCTTCTGAGTGTGCCACAGATGGAAACTTGCAGAGGTAGAGTACCATGCCCAAGTCGAAAGCCCATCATCATCTTCACCGCCTTCCCGAGCCAGTGACAGGAAAAGCAGAGCACTTGGCAGCTCCCTAATTGCGTTCATTCCCTAAACATTTATGTGCCCGTTCACTGGTTTTGCAAATCCCACGATGCTTTCAATCCATTCCACTGTCATTATAGTTATTGTTGAGACAGTAAATACTTACCCAGGCTTTCTCACTTACGTCCTATCTTATTCTTCTTTCTGCATACCTCTGCTATCCATCTAGTATCCACTTTCCCCCCCTGCCTGTAGGCTAGTCTTTTTCGTTCCCTTTAATGAAATTTTGTCATCAGAAAATTCTTGGTTTATGTACCATTGCCATTGTTTCACACATGGAAGAGTACTGTTATCACTCAGGATTGAAGCTATGCCACTGACTTTTAAGAAGTCATCTGTCCATTGGATTGCTATGTCTCTGAACGTCATAGTCTTGTCTTTCTAGCTCCTTTTCGGGTCACCCCTTCCCATATGGTCTTCTGAAACTACACGACAGCCAAATGTGTCACTCTTCCCCTTGGAACTCACTGGGCTTCTTGAGTCTGTGAGAAACCCTCAGGCGTTATTTCTTCCACAGCTTTCCCTCCATCCTCTTGACCTTCCCTCCCAGAACTCTTAGGCACACAGAGATGAGTTTCTTCCCATGTCCTTCACGCTTTGATATTTTCTGCTCTGTGTGGGATGCCTTTGTTAAATAACATCTTCAGTTCCAAACTCCAATTTTCTAGTTCCTTCTTGAGCTGGGTTTAATCTGCAATTCAGCTTAGTTGTTAAATGTTTCATCTCAGCTCTCATTTCCAGTTATGCGGGTTCCATTTGGTTCTTTTATGAGCTATATTTTTGCCCACATTAATATTCTTTTTCACTTCTCAAACCTACCACACCCTTTTACAGTCTTGGGTAGTATATCTCACCATCTGATTCTTCCTTGAGCTGGCATCTTCTGATTCTGTTTTCTATGGATTTTTCACTTTAATGGCATTTTTCCTGGTATAGTTCATGACTTTTTAAAATTGAATTACCCATTTCACACATGGAAATCCTTGTGTCTTTGGAACAGAAGTGAAGCCACCAAGAAAAATATTTGTTTGTCTTTAAGGTGTCTGGTACATGTGAATGACAGGGCCTAGCTGTCTCAAGTCACTCTGAAATGAGTGAATAACTTAGGGCTTAAGGAAGGCATTTAGGGAACGAGGCTCAGGGCTTTGGGTTCACAGGAGAGAGAGTTGAAGCCGGAGGGTGTGAGGATGGGCTGGGTTTATTTCTAATGTTAAGGAAAGTGAGAGGACAATGCTTGTAATTATCTGGCTCCCCAGTTAGTAAAAGGAGCTTCCAAACAGCACCCTGTGAAATGGCCCTGGATTTGTCTCCTTCCCCAGAAGGAGGTGTAAAATGGATGCTTCTTTTCCTTCCCACCCCCCTGAGGAAAAAGCCAACATCAGGCAGGACACAGCTTTCCTTTCTGGATTTTGTCCCCCAACAAGTACTAGGCCATGGATTATTATTACTTTCTCTCTTTATGTATATGAGTGTGTAGTGTGCTCACATGTGTGTGTGTTCACATGTTTCTGTGTGAGTATGTATGTGTATGCATATGTGAAGGCCTAGTAATCTTTTTTTGATTGTGATCTACCTTATTATTGAGGCAGGGTCTCTCAACTGAATCCAGAGCTCACCCATATTGCTAGCTTTGCTATCCAGCTTACCCCAGGGATCCCTGCCTCTGCCTTCTATGCCAGGATTACAGATAGGCCCCTACATCCACCTGGCAATTGCATGGGGAGTTCTGGGGATCCAGACCCTGGTCCTTACTGCTTTTGTGGCAAGAGCTTTAACCACTGAACCATATACCCAGCCCTGAACCTAGTACTCTTAGCCTCAATACAGCTTGCTGATGTCTGCTTGTGGTGTGTAGCTATGTTCTTTCCTAGCCAATTTCAATAGAAGGCTTCATTTGGGCTACTCATCCGCTTCGTTGGTAACCTCTTTTGATCTGTACTTAGCATTTGTCTTAATCATCTAAGACACTTTTTGATGGCCCCAGAGCTAGATGACCACACACTTCTCATGTCTTCTTATAGGGACAAGGGCTGCCTTTTGGGATGCCATGATGGCAGTAGTTTTCTGGGTGTGTAGGTTCATCAGCACTATACAATGCTTGGATCATCTGAAACATCTCAGGTCCGGTCCAGCCTGTGCTCACATCCCATCAGGGACAGCTCACCACCTTCCTTATGCTGTCCCTTTCCTGTTGGAGCATCTGTGTCACCAAGTCAAGCTTTGTGCTGCATGTTAGCTAACAAACAAGCCCACGTAAAGGACCGATGAAGCCCAGCAAAGACAAATGGTAAATGTCCTTGGAGGAGGTGGAATTTCAGGCATGACAGGACATATAGATGGGATCGAAAAGAAAAGCAGTAATGGGGAGGGGGGAGAGGGAACCCATGTGCACCGAAACCTTGTTAGCAACATTGAGGAGATTAAAGCAAAGAGGTCATTCATGTAAAAGTAACCATAATGTTAGCATTTTTATCCCTACTCAGAAAGTCAAGACTCAACTGCAGTAACCCCTCTGGAGTCACAGAGTTGACAACTGGCTGAGCTGGAATCCAGCCTCTTGGACATCTTCTGGATCCTGGTTCTTCCCAGTGTTTTGAGGGTGGCAGCTATTACCCAGAGAGGAAGAGGCAACATGAGAGCAAGCAACCCATTCAGCCATGTTGCTGAGTGGGCGTGGCTTGGCATATGTCCTGCTCTGGCCTGGGAAGCACCTGCTGAGTGCACCCTGGGATGGAGTAGACAATGTAGGTCAGGAACCAAGAGGGCCTCTCCTGGCCCTGTATCAATTCCCAACTACTAACACAGCTAGAAGGCCCAGCTACATGTGTTGCAGCAAGGGGCACCCATCCTAAAGCAGTTCCCTGGCTCCTTGCCTGCTTACAAGAAGGCTCCAAGTACCCTCAACACTCCAGGTCTCCTTGTCTTGACTCTCATCACCTCCCCTCCCAAGACAGAGAGTAGAAGCCTGGGCAGCACAGCCAGTTCTGTGGTTGGTTTTGCAAGATACATGGGTTATGTCTATATCTCCTCCAAGAGGGCTGTCTTGCCCTTTGGGTTGCCTCTCTGCTGAAATTCAGGAGCTCTTCTGAGAATGTGTGTTTGGAATGACTGGGACTGATCTCCAACATGTTTCTACTCAGAATCAAGCTGAGCTGCGTCCACATCAGCCTTCCCAGACCTGCAGTGGTAACTGTGTCTGTCTGTATTGCATCAATCATCATCATGTGCTCTTCAGAAGAAAGCACAATATCACTGTACCTCCTCATGGCCCTCATGCTGATACCAGGCATAGCTTCACTTGCAACTTGGTATGATGTAGGTAGGTGTGTACCCTTCCATTTTTCAAACATGTTTCTGTAGACATATTTTCATGGACAGAACATGCACACGTTGCAAGGAGCTGTTGATGTGAGTGGTGTTGGCCCCGCTTTGAACTCCTAGAGAAGAGCACAAAAGGACTTCTTCTGGGTCTCCACTTGGCCAGCATAGGCAAACCTTCTGGGCTTATTTCCCCTGAATGTACTCGAGACTGATGGGGAAGACTGGCTAGTGGGATACTACATGCCCCTGGCCCAGCATATTGTAATGTTCCCATCTTACCTAGTTGACAGCAGGAGGCTATGGATAGGCAGTCTAGAGACCCATTCTCTGGGAATAGGACTGAGAGATAGAGTTCCAGGTGATTGGGAAGCTCCCCCAGACCATAGGGCTCCTGAGGCCCCTATGACAGTCTCACAGAAGTCTGGGGGATCCATTCTGATGGGTTGAGTGGTCTCTGGCAGGCCCCTTCCATCTTTGGTTCCAGAATTCTTTAGAATTTTATATGCACTCAATCTGCCTAAGGCTGGTATCTGCTGGGCCCTGAGGCCTGGTTATTCCCTAGGAACTAAGGGACATCACTTGTCCAGGTGGGCCCAGGACAGCTCTGGGTAACTTGGGAGTTTGCACATGTATATCTCCTGTCTCTCATTGCTCCTTGGGTGGACAGTATTGGGTTATTTCTAGAAGAGTTTAACCTTAGCTGTCCACCAGGGTAGTACCTCAGCTCAGTTACTTCCTGCTATGACTCCATTCTAACCTCCCTCATCCAAGAATATCCCCTCATCTCCCAGACAAACTCTGTGTTCCAGTGCCTGCCTGAGAGTTTGCTCATGTGACAAAATAAAGACTCAGACTCAGGGGCCTCTGAGGAGAAGACAAGGGTTTCTCCAGAGGCTCACACAGCAGGGCTCCACATTCTCTAGGCACACCACTGGGCAACTTGGGGTGACAAGAGACTAACAGAGCCATAGGAGGTTGAGTACCTGCTCTGAGGGGAAGCAAGTAGGGCCCCTGGAGCCTCAAGTGTCGAGGAGGCAACCTGGTATCTCTGGCTATCTCAGAGACAGATGCAGCCTATCTTGCCAGCCATGGGACCCATGAGCCAGATGCCTCACGTGACAGGGTGTGGCTGGGTGGGTTTCATCTTAATGCTATCTCCATCTCCCACTAGCCCACAGCCTGCAAGCAACATGATGTGAGGTAAGCAAGACATGCCTTTATTGGAGAACATGACAACATGGATACACAGATCTTAAGCCCAGAACACACGGGCAGGGAGCATCCTGAAACCCGCTCACTCTGGTCCCCCACACTGTCCCCTCCCTTGCTTGGGTTGTCAGTGGCATTCTAGGGGTGAGCCAGACCTAAGGAGGCTGAAGGGGTGGCTCAGCATTTCTTCTTACAGCCACAGGGAGAAGGCAGACCAGGAAGGACCTTCCACAGTGCTGGCCACAGAACAGGGCCACCCAGGCTGGCACTGGGTGTGAGGTCACTCAGCATAATAGGCCAGAAACCGAGCAGACGGCACACAGGGTGACTTCTGGGAGGGAGGAGAGCTGGGTCTGGTGCCTGAGGGGCTCAGGCCTGTGCTTCCAGGGCCCGCACATGCACGCTGGGTAGACAGAACCAGGATGGTGGCAGCTCCTTGCTCTTGCAGTCCTCATGGAAGCGGATGTGGAGGAAGAAGTCGCCTGTGTAGAGGAAGAGGAGGGCCCCGAGGCAGGCAGACTGGCCTGCGGGCTGCACCTGAAGTGGGAAAGGAAGAGGCGTCATACTGGATCTGTAGCTCCAACCCCAAAGCTGCTGGGAGAGCCTCGAACCTGCCTTACTTCGGGGTGATGTGAGAGGGGTGGGACGCACTGGCTCTGCCCCCATCCGAAGTTTTTGGGCTGTGCTTCCTGGGATGAGAGGCTGCATGTATCTGAGAAGCCACTTCCATCTTTGAAAAGAGCTATTGCTGGGCAGTGATGGTGCACGCCTTTAATCCCAACACTCGGGAAGCAGAGGCAAGCGGATCTCTGTGAGTTCGAGGCCAGCCTGGTCTACAGAGTGAGATCCAGGACAGGCTCCAAAGCTACACAGAAAAACCCTGTCTCAAAAAACAAAACAAAACAGAGAGAAAGGAGCTACCACTCTTTCTCTCCCTGAACTGTTTGGGTTTAGTGTGAGAGGGAGTACAGGAAGTAGTATGTGTGGTGATTGAGGACAAGCATCAGAACCAAGTTCTAGGGCCCACTGATTCCTCTGGGGCTGGGTGACCACTGCAGGGAGGAGCTGTGGTTACATACAGGGAGGAGCACCACCGTTGACCTCATCCCTGGTTGCAGGGCTCTATAGGCTGCCACAGTGGGTTGGCCATGGAGACTGCGCCCCAGCTCACACTCACCGTGTCAAGGTAGAAGGTGCTGGAACCCACAAAGGAGATGACATCCTGCAGATCATAGTTGTGCACACCATTCTGGTGGTCTTGGAAGGGGACCACGGTGAGGGCGAAGGGCCCCACGCTATGAGGACTCCGGTTGGTCAGCCGCACCTCCAAGTGCACGGGGTCACCAACCTGGCAGGCAGCGGCCGCCTCACAGTCACATGGCTGCCCATCCACCAGCACATCTGCAAGAGAAGGAAGACTATCAGAGGTAGCCGGTCTGTCGTCCGACTTCTTGCTCTGTGTCAGAGCACTGAAGACACACGGGAGTGACTGGACCCTATTTTCCTGAGATAGTCTGGTAGAGACAGGTGTGGCAGGAGCAGAGCTGTCGCCCAGAGAGGCTGTCCACTCGGGAGGAGCCCAGATCTGTAGTGTTCCTCTTGGACATTCCAGCCACAGCTTCCTCTGCTGCGAGGGCAGAACCATGGACTTGGCCCTGCCACACACACTTTTTGATACCCACAGTGCCCGAGATCAGGGTCAGGTCTCATCAGACAGAGGGTCTTGGGAGAATGACTTGTACAGAGTCCCCAAAGGAAGGGGGTTTAGGGATGATGACACACTGAGGCTGCCACATGCTCTCAAACTTGCCCAGGTACAGACAGACCCATTCCCTGCCTACCCTGCTATTGCCACTCCTGGACTCATGCCCATTCTCCATCTCAGGTGAGCTGCAGCTATAGAAACCCCTCAGTAGCCCTCATTCATCCCAACACTGATGGCCGGGCATAGCGATGAGGAATATGGATGTAAACGAACCCTACTGGAGGGTAAGTTTATAATGTAGCAAGGAAAAAGGTGAGGTCAGCCGAGAGTGGGACCATATTGAGACTCCACCGGATGGAGTGCTTAAGAGGGCTCATCATAGGCATGGGGAAGGGACATTTCTTCTCATCTACATTCTCCAGGGTATCAATTGTCTCTAAGAGTCTGGTTTAGCTGCATCTTTCATTTTTGAATGTACAAGACCATCTGGCCTGAGTCTGACCAGGATAGGTGCTGTGGTGGTCCTGAGTCCCAGGCCACTAGTCTGTAATCCACATAAGCATGTCTAGTGGTACTCTGACACACCGCGGGTAGTGTAAGGATGGGCTGCGGCTCCTACTAGCTGCCCCTGTGAGGACGGTCACTATCTTGGTGAACCCCAGTTCTCTCTCTTGTGCAGTGGAGCAGATGCCAACACTAATGGCTATGATGAGAACATACAAAGTCATGCTGCGTGACGCTGTGGGCAATAGCGTGAGAGCTGTGTATGCAGGCTCCAGAAATGCCCCTCTGGAAGGACTCGGTGGTGGGGTGGACCCATCCCGGCTTCCATCATAGCACATGCTAAGTCTGTAGGGCAGCTCAGTGACTTCTGCCCCCAGCCTGAGTTTCTCTGGCATGGGGCCTCATGCAGAAAGGCACTTGACAATCCTCTACCTCTTCTCTCTACTCCACACGGACCAGGTCGTCATGACTATTTCCTGAGCAGTAAGCCCAACCAGGTGCAGTTGGAGCTGCTTGAACTAAATGGGGAGAGCAGGTTGTGGCAGTGGCTGGTTCCATAAAGGGAGAAATGGTTATAAACAAACCAGTGAAGGGTGGCTGGCTCATTACAGCTCTTAGGTTTTTCTTTTTTCTCTGCAGAGGACTGTGTGGGCTGTAAGGGCTGCCAGGACAAGGCTGTGGCCCATCTTCCAGCCTTTCCTGCCTGTCTGTTAACCTTTTCCAGCCCTGACTCTGCACAGCCCAAGGCAGGCCAGCTGGGATGCTGGCCTCACCTCTACCCTATCATGTCAGGAGAAACCTTGGACACTCCCAGCCTTCTTCCTGTCCTGAAAGCTGGCACGAGTGCTCCTGCTTCCTGGGGAGAAGAATGAGGGAGGGGTTCTCCCAGGTTGTAACTAGCAGCTTCATTCCAGCATCCTAGCACATCCACACACAGAAGACAGGAGGCTCCCCAGAAGGACTGCCTACTCTAGCCTGGCTTGGGTAACTGACCATCCCATCCACTCAGGGCTATTCTGCATCCTGGGGAGCACTCGGGACCAGGCACCGGACAGTTCACACCAGCTGCCAAGTGTGTGACAGGCACCTGCAACCATCCTCCTGCCTCCACCATAGTCCTCAGAGTTCTTATACCATGGTATCCAGGAACAAGGAATTCTGTACCTTCTTGGATACTGATTGGGGAAAAAGCGACCTTCCACGATAGGCCTGCAGGAGAGAAGAGGTCCTGCTCCCTGGCACCCATGCTAGGAAATGTGACGAAAATGAATGCAGTGGCCGTGCTGGTGACAGCGTAAGACCTGCAGCTCTGTCGGCACTAATCCCCAACTCAGCCACAGTGGCATCTATCTGTCTTTCCTGGCTAGGGAAGCCTGGCAGAGCCAAGAAGCAAAGGTGCCCAATCCCCACTGAACCCAGGCTGTGGGGAGAAGTGAGGACCCAAGAGAAGCCAGCTGTGTGTCATAAATGTACAAGCTGGTCTTGCCAGAAAACAGCTGGAACCCCACAGTGCAGAACTTGACAGACACCAGGATGTGCCTGGCTCTGCTGTGAGGGAGGTAAGGTGGCTTAGGATTCCCCCCCCCCCCAGGGCTCACTGTACCTGGAGCCTCCCCAATACCTCCTTCATCCAGTCCACACTTTCAGGCCAGGCTCCAGGGGAATTGAGCAGATGATCTAGGAGGCCACATGATCCAAGCCTGTGACTGGAGCAAGCAGGGGCCCAGTAAGCCAGACTAGACCCCTTGGTGAGGGAAGGTGGGGACACCTCTGGGACTGCAGCAGGGAGAGCTGGGCACAGAACCCTGTGTAGTTCCTTCTCTAGGCTAGCCAGAAGCTTCCTGGGGCCCCGAACCACAGTGTGCGGGGTGGTCTTTTGATCTCTAGGGCTGGGCCCATGCTCTGAGTCACTGTTCACTTCCCTCTCTGAATGATGTTGCCCTGCTAGTGATGACCAGCTGGTAAAGGACTCTTGTTTGACAGTACCCCTCCTGTCTGGAGGTGGCAGACGGGCTAGTTAGTAGTGGTGGCTCCTGGTCCCCATCAGTTCATTCTAAACGTGAGTTACCCCTAACAGCTGGCAGCTTTGTGAGTCTCTGTCTCCTCATCCCAAGACGGGGTCATCCCAGAACCACTCCAAGTGGGGCTTTCTGTTGGTGGCCAACAGAGGCTGGCCCTTGACCTTGATCCCTTCAGCCCCCTGTGGCCCAGAGCCAGTGTTCTCTACTCCTCACACTGCCCTTGCTATCCCCCCAGCATGCCACACCTGTCCCAACTGATCTCTCTCCTGGTGGTCACCTGACCAATAAGTCCCTGGATAGTGAGTGGGGCTGAGTGCTCAGCTCAAACCCTGGCCCCATTATTTCTGGACACACCCTACCACCTGTGACCTCTTAACTCCCCAACCCCACCAGTAACATGACCGGGCTGGAAGCACAACCAAGAGATGCCTTTCAAGTAGAGGGCGTGTTCCCACTGTGGTCCTGCCCAGAGAGTAAGTCCCTGGTGGGGGCGGGGGTGAATAATCGATCCAAGAGAATCGGGAGTGTAATCGTCCTGGGATTGATGTGCCTCTTTCCTGAAAGCATTAGCCGGACCATGGACCACTGTCCCCTCCCGCCCATCTCTGACAGCAGCTGGAGTGACAGACTTCAATCCCTCTGACGCAGAGTCCCACCTACAGTGGCTGCTGCCACACAGATGCTGGGACAGGGTGCTGGCTCTGCAGAAACCAGGTCTATAGACAGAAGACAATAGGAGGACCAGGGTCTAGAGGGGTCCACCCTGCAGGCCCCAGGAGACTGTAAGGTAGCTGGTCATAGGCGGCCCCGTGGCCTGAAAGAACAGGAGACAGGTATAAGGCACTCCGGCGTAAGATTCACAGGCTGCCTGGTGCTCTGTGTCTTATGTGCCCCCAAGTCCCCATGTCTCAGGATAGAAAGTCGCATGGACCAGGCAAGTCAAAGACTACTTGAGAGAGGAGTAAGAGGCAAGGTGGGAATAAGAGTCACAGGGCAGGCCAGCTGGGCCCAGTCCTGAGGGCCCTAGATCCTCATGGTATTCCAAGTTTATCGCTGTCTTTCCCATCTGGTCTGTATGGAGTAAAGGTGCTGGGCACCTGGGGAAATAGCAGAAGAAGTGGGTCACTTAGGAGAGACATGACAAAAATGGCTGCATCTATCCAGAATGTCCCTCGCAGTGGCTCTGAACCACAATCTCCAGAGGCTGGGTTACCCATGCCCCAGATAGTGAAGTGTCTTCCTGTGTAGGGTGGTGTCCAGTGACAGGTTCCAACAGGTGCATGTCTGTTAGCCTGGGTCCAACACACCAACCTCCTGAATCACTCAGTGGGCAGTGAGGAGGACAGGGAAGGGCAGGGTGGAAGTATGTAGGGGCTCCTGAAGGCAGAGACATACTTGTCCCCCCCGACCAAGGGGCTCAAACACCTGCCGACCCAGGACTGTATGGTGGTTGAGAATGACCTGTGGTTTCCTGCCCAACTAGCCACCCCCCCCCAAGTTCATCCACCTTTAGCATGGAGCTCCCACAGCCAAGACTGGATTACTTTTCATCCATGGCTACAGATCTAGGGAGCGCATCAGCCCTGCCTCACACACACCTCCCCTCTTTTGCCTCCGGTGTCCTGGAAAACGGCGGACTGCTAAATATAGTTCAGAAACAAAATTCACCTTTGGGATAAAGAGCATGTCTTCAGGAACAAGGCAGGGAAAAACAGGGATAGCTGGGGGGTTGGTGCTCCAGCCTACTTCAGATGAGGGGATGGACCTGAACCTGGACAGCCAGGGTTGGTCTGGGAGGGACTCGGCTTTGGGAGGGGTCAAGGATCAGCATCAGGCCATAGATGAGGTATAAGACAGGAAAGGATAAACAAGCCTGCGAGGTGACATTAGCGCTCACTGAGGTGTCCCACCCCTCAATACCACCCAGTAGCTGCCCTCTGAGGGAAATAGATTTAGCATAAAATCTCCTCCTTTCTAATCATTCAGGACAAACGGCCCCATCTTCTCCAAAGCCAATGGAGCTGATGGCTGAGTGCCTAGTCAACCAAATACACTGATTTTCTTCTTTACTGGTCAGACTCAGGTAGCTGATGCTTTCACTTTGCTAAGAAGCTCACTCAGTACCAGAAACATTGGTGTCCAGGAACTGTAATTTGGTTCCCATAAACTCC